ATCTGTTTTATCATCATATCCAGGACTTCAGATCATAGATCTCCACAACTTCCTATCCTTTGTAAGGTTTTCCTTTTCACGATCCCTCCCAGTCACTGTTCTGTCATCCATTTACACATTTAGGTAAGTCACTCACTGCTTTTCCCTGTCCTTCTTTTCGCCCTCTGCGTGTCAAATTCAGCAAGCCCTCTTTCCTCATTACGCATTACGTGTCCTAGAAATTTCAACTCTTGTTTTAAATATAAAGGTTATTGTTGACATTTTCCTTAAAACTTCCTCGTTACTCACATGTTCTGCCCATGATATTCTCAGTATCCATCTACAGAGACAGATTTCTGTTGCCTCAAATCTCTGAGCCTACGAAGAGATTGTCCAGCATTCACTGCCATAGAGGCGGACGGATGTTACATAACAGCTCAGACAAATAATTGTGAATGTATTGCAATTTATCTTGACCAAGTGAAAATTAGTAATGATCAGGAATGAAACCTGCTCAACAGTTAATCCACATTTTAATGCCTATATTTGTTTCCTTTTCGTGAACAGCCGAACAAGATTAGCAAGGCCGGCCTTTTTCACTGAAGTCTTTTGTAAAGATTAAGCTCCTGTAATGGATGTATATTCCTGTCATTTATAATCGCCCCAAATCCGAACAGAACAGGAAGAAGACTAACTCACTGAGTGATCTTATATTCATTTATCATTTAAGTTAGCAACCAATCGTCCTCGTCGGCATCCGTCCGTCACGAGAGACGATGGAGTAGCGCGGTACGCTACGAGCCTGGGTCGGATATATGTAGAACTAGGGCTGCCCAAACGTCTAGTTCCCCGTCTCGGCTTTGCTGGCAGAGCCCAAAGGAGAGGATAAACCAATACAGTTTGGTACCAACGCGGCTGCAGGAGTTGCCGGAAGGTAGCACAAAGTACCGTCCATCCGCCTTCGGGGCTCCACTCCGAGTTTGAATTCAAAGTTGTCCTTCTCCTAGACCAGTTTCCAACCAAGGCTATAGAATCCAGTCTGTCCTGCTATTTACCCATAACTGGAGGGAGGAGAAGAAGAGGATTCACACTTTTCCCAAGTAAGTGAATGTAATGGATTTCACTGGAATTCGAACTCGGCCCTCTGATTCCTCAATCCAAGCCGCTATCCATTACTCTATCGTGCATCCATTACTCCACCGTGCAACCAATAACAAATTAATAATTACTCAAAAATTTGTTCTAAAAGCATTTAAGACCGCTGCTGCTGTTAAATCTCATGCCATGAAGGCGTCGAAGACACGAGAGCCACCTTGTCCCGACAGTTCTCACGGTCTTCGCTGAACATTCTCCAGTGCCAGATTAATCTGCTGGACGTCCGGGAGGACAACGTCTTCAAAACGACAGTGTGGTCTGCCGCGAGATCATCTCCAGATTTTCAAATTGCGAGTCGAACTGGTGGATGACTCTGGTAGGGTAGGTATCAAGTCGTCTAAGGATGTGACCGAACTAGTGAACACGGCGCTGAACGATGTTCGGCTGGGCGGGCCTCCGCCAGAGCTCAGCATTGAACACAAGATCGGACCAGTGCATCCCTCGATGGCACTGAGAGCTCGGAACTCAAAGACATGGATGCGGAAAGCGAGGGACATATTGAGAGATTTCATTTAAGACTGAGAGTTATATAGTCTTCTTGTTCAGCTGGCGATTTTTAAGCGTAAAATCATTCTCGTAGATAGTTGAATGAGTCGCACTGTAAAGTATTGTCGATACGTGAATGATATAAAATGAATACGAATTGGAGAAGGAAATAATAATGTCAGATAATGAATTACTGATCAATTAATCAGAAGTATTTTTTTTTAAATCCAAACGGATACAAATACGAGAAACCAAGTGATGGACATTCTAGTCGAGAATAGTTTATTGCAAGCTTCTCCGCAGTGTCATGTTTGTTGATTAAACAAAAAAAGGTTGTCAATATAACAGTTCTTTTCCTTGAGATTCCATTATACTAACACTATCAATGCATGTCATCACTGTCGATGAAATATCTCGTCAGCTGCTGCAGGAAAAAGACATTTCTTGTAAGATATCTCGCCAATCGCTTCAGGACAAAGAAATTTTTCGCGAGATACCGCTGCAAAATAATTTTATCGCGAGACATCTAGTCAACCACTCCAGGACAAAAACATTATCGGCAGATATCTCTTCAGTCACTTCAGAACGAAGACATTTTTTCCGTGATATATAGTCAATCGGTTCTATGTAGTTAAATTATATATAGTGTTTGATCGTCATTAATCCGGTATCATCGAAGTTTATTTTACCGGATTAGTGATGCTTACATTTCTTCATGGGAAAAATTTTGCTTGTTCTTTCACCGTCTATGAGAAAGTTAACTCTGAATGAAATACCGTAACGACCAACGCCTGCATACGAAATGAACTGAAAATTGATACAAAAATAGAAATGGGTGTAAGACAAGGATGTGTCTTCTCACCAGACTTATTCAAACAATATTCAGTGAGACAATTCTGAGAGAATTAGAAGTCCTACCAGGATTCATTATTGGCAACAACAAGCTTAACAATATTAGATATGCAGGTAACACAGTGTTGATAGTAGACACAGAAAGAAAACTATAAGGACTCCTACAGAAGGTAGTGAAGCAAAGGAAGAAGAAAGGACTAAACATCAATTGCAAAAAGACAAAAGGCCTGGTTGTTGGCAAAAGGGACAGCACAACATTTAAATTAAATATTGGAGATACTAAAAATCAAACAAGTACAACAATTTAAATATCTACGAAGTGTTTTAACAGAGGACGGAAAGAGATAGCAAAAGATAACTTCGAAAAGCTAAGCAGAGTATCATGAAACAGAAACATTTCGTTAGAAACAAAGGAAAGAGTGGTGAACTGTTATGTAATATGAATCCTCCTATATGACAGTAAATGATGGACAATCTTCTCACAGATAAAGAAAATTGAAGCAACAGAAATGTGATGCTACAGAAGGATGATGAGAATACCATGGACGAAACATGTGAGCAACAGCGAAATTTGAGAGAAAATGGAAACAAAAAGGACACTTATACTTAGCATCAAAAAAAGACAGTTGAAATTTTACGGCACATAATAAGGAAAGGGGGCTAGGAAAATTTTATACTCACAGGACAATTTAAAGGCAAGAGGGGACAGAGAAAAACAGCATATAACATATTTGATGAACTTGAATAAATGGATGGCTGATCAAGGTTTAGGAGAGATAGCAAAAAGATAAAATTTATTAAGAACTACAAAGAACAAGAAATTGTGGAGAGCCATGTTCGTTAACGTCCTGAAGGGTCACGGCACGTAGAAGAACGATGTTCAAATCTCTGGTTGCCCTTTGGCGAAACATAGAATCCAGAAGGCATAGCATCTGCCAGAGTAACGATGGAGTCACCGACAACAGGGTATAGGTTATGGTCAGTGGCAGACTCTAACAGACAGGATTTGTAGCATTAAATAGTCAAAGGGAAACTACATGAACATGTACCGCCTAGTGTCTCCTAATAAAGAGTGTTCCAATAACTTAGACCGATTTTAAATGTGAATTAAGTTTAAGCGTCTAATGATTGTTTCTTTTTTTTTCTTTCAGATTTAACAACTTAAGTCTTTGGCAATTTCAACCATGGAAAGATTAACAATCAAACAACGTGTTAAAGTTATCGAAGCCTATTACGAAAATGGACTTTCAAAAGAAATTGAATGAGAAATTCCCAGGTCGCATCATCTCTCGAAACAGCGAAGTCAAGTGGCCACCACGATCGTGTGACTTGACGCCTTTAGATTTCTTCCTTTGGGGTCATCTCAAAAGTAAGGTCTATGCCAACATCCAACAATAATTCAACAGCTGAAGAATGAGATAATAAGGCATATTGGTGAGATCGAGGTGCAACTATGCAGAGACTTCATCAAAAATTTAGTTTAGAATTTAGGAATTGTAATAAGCTTTTCCATTTATGATTAGTAAATATAATTTTTACTTAATAACAATATCACATAACCGCTACAAATTAATACAGAATTTTATAAGTTGTAAAACTTTATAAATTATTCTAATTCAAACTTTTTAAAAATTAAAACATTTCTTGTAAAAAATACATTATTTATCGAAAACATTTTTTAAAACAACAGTGTCCATAATATATCTTATTCATAAAAGCAATTAAAAGCTTTTCTAATTAAATAATGTCTTAGATTTATTGTATCTTTTATATTACGATTCAGAGCACTTTTTTTTGTAACTGAGGGTCCTGTTTGGCAAAAAAAAAATGATTTAAGTTCTCCAATGAATTATGCTTATAACTAATATAAACACTAACTTTGACAAAAATGAATTTCTCGAAATATCATAAAATTAAATAAGTGAACTGTGGGTAACAGATGTAAAAAAAAAAAAAAAAAAAATACGTCTATTTTACCACGATTTTCTAAAAAAAAAAAAAAAAAACGAAAGAAAGAAATATTTCTAAAATAATTCAATTCATTTGTTAATAAGTCCTGAAAGTTTCATTAAAGTCCGACAATTATCTGATTTTTGCAAGAATTTTCAAACCAATGTGTTTTTCAGCACAAAAAAAAAAACGCTAAAATTTCCCATGCTAATTTAGGGTCACCCGTTGCCGCAAGATAAAATTTAACCAAAATTTTGTACTTTCTAAAAAGATTAAAAAAATACAATTTAATAATAAAAAAAATTCTTTGGTCTTTATTCTTAATAATAGCATACAGATTTTGACGATAAAACTTTGTTTTTTAAGTTTGTGATAGTTTTTCATCATGTATGCTCATTTTTTAGCGAAGAGTTAGTAAAACTCAACGCTTATATACATTTATACATCTATTCAAAACCTAAGTATTGTATCTTTTATAGAACTCTCCTTTCAACAGGTGGAGCTAAAGACAGAGAGAAAGGACGAACAAGAAATACGACCTCCTTAACGATTTCACTGGGCGCCTTCAAACTTGCGTATTACGGTTCCCCAGGTGTTGGAAGAAGGAAAGAAGAGAGAGCAATTCCTTTAGATTTGTCACATACCCAGATTTGGCGGAAGTGACGTGAATCGTAACGTATCCATCTTTGTTTATGTAATGTGAAAAAATATGCTGCATTGTGTACCTTTATTCAAGAATGTAAATGCTTTTTTTAGTGTAAACATTTATTCATTTACCATCCTTATTCTTCAGTCATTCATATCACACACTTTATTCATCATAACCACTTCAACAATAATCTTCTATCTTGTATTGAGTGAAATTAAGTATAAGAAAAGGCAGTGAATAAAACAGGATATGATTGTATTATGTCATATTTTCGAATATTAAATACATTTTAACAGTTTACGTAATATTAAGAATTGTAATTTGTATATTTAACGGTGAGGATCGATCAGAGGTGTTTCATGGATGATTGGATGAATTGCAGCCAGCGTTAACGTTTACATGGGCAAAGGAGAACAAGGCAGCCTTTGACTTTTCTTGGCGCGCTGGTAAACAGATCAGACTCGGCTTTTTCTAACTTCTGTGAACCGTAAGCCGACTTTTACTAGATTGTACACTCGTTGGAACTGTTATTATCCTAAAAAACAAAAACTTACTTTGATCAAGACCATGGTTCAGTGAACCCTAATTACCTGTTCTAAAACCAAATTAAATTCTGAAATTGAAACTATTACGAAGGTTTTAGTTGAAAATGGCTACCCTCTGGACGTTTCGCAATCTAGCGTTCGTGTTAAAATTGTCAGCCAATTATGTGCCTTGCGTGATACACGCTTAGGCGTTCATGTATCTTTCGATACATGACTGACGAGGCAGATTTTTCCCGCAGCAGGTTGCCATTTCTTTCTGCGGTAGACCAGTTGCCATCCAAGGCTATAGAACCCGGGCTGTTCTGCTATTTACCCATAGCTGGGGGAGAAGAGGATTCATACCTTTCTCAAGGGTATTAGCACGTAAGTGAACGTAATGGATTGGACTGGAATTCGAACTCCGCTCTCTGATTCCTCAATCCGGGCCGTTATCCATTTAATAAAACCAATTTGTATGGCCCGGAAAAGTGTCCTGTTTATTTGCTAGGCAAATCTCTCAAAGTGCGCAGCTTTGCTATTTTTTTGCCAATCTACGGTTTGTTTTCAGTTCCCAATCTATGCTGAAATCCATTCATAAAGATGCTAGTTCAGTGATTTCTGATTTTAAATGTCAGTGTGATGCGCGGTGCTATAATCGATAGCGTCTCGAAATAGGAAATCCAAGAGCAAAGTTCAAATTCCAGTCGAGTTCATGACATTCACTTACGCATAAATACACTTCGGAAAAGGTATGAATCCATATGTCTCCGCCCCCAGCTATGGGTAAATAGCAGGATAGACTGTGTTCTATAACCTTTGTTGGCAAACACTCTAGGAGAAGGAAAACTCAAATACAAACACTCCTGGAGAGCGATGGGCTCCGTCAGGCTAGTTTGTTTAAAACACACCTCTGCTACTAAGCTTATAGTACATATGGTGTCCTTACTTAAAGGCCTTACAGGACTCTTAATCGTATTTGTATAATATATATATATATATATATATATACACACACACACACACACACACACATCCACACACAGTGACACACAGACACACACAGTGTGTATCTAAAATACTTTTCCAGGTTTGGAGAGGGTTCCTGACACCAAAACAAGAACAAAAGGCCACATCTAACTTTTTCCAAATTATCTGCACTATTCTCAGATTGACACCCAAACACTGAAATGTTCATATCGAAGCTTCCAGCGCCAATGCCAAAAAGTACAGCATGCTGTTTCCAAATTTCTGTCGGAGTGAATTGCGTCATGGTGATCTTTTTCCCACAGATGGTGCCTAACTGAGCCTACTATACTGCACAGTCGACAAAATCAAAATCAAACAACGCGCATACGCGAAATTAAAAATATAAAATAGCGACAATTTACCCATCGCACCCTATATCTATGTATGTATGTATGTATGCGTGCGCGTGTAAGTTTAATTAAAAAAACAGACAACCTTAAGGGTCGATCGATTATATTTTATTTCCCCAGGAAAGGGATATTTCCTGATTCCTCAGATCACATTTCCAAGCATAAAAGAAAATGGTTTAAAAATTTACATTTTATTTTTATACAAGCTTTTAAGAGGTACTTTTAAGTTGATGTAAGGTAATAGAGGGGAGAGGAGGTGGGCCACACATACATATATATATATATATATATATATATATATATATATATATATATATATGTGTGTGTGTGTGACCAATTTGTGACTGGTGTAGATAATTCCAATAGAATATTAATTCAGAAAAAGCTCAATGCAATGTAAACTACAAAACATTATAATAACAATAAATCAAGAAGAAAACCTTAAAGATCTATTTCGGTTATAATTTATTTCGGGAATATTTCTATATTAATCTGTTCGGACCGAAAGTTCTTAATAAATGGAGACTTATATACACTAGCAGTAGAGCCCGGCGTTGCCCGGGGATGCAACAGTAAGAGATAGATCAAGTATCGACCATCATAAAGACTGAAAAATAAAATTGACAAAGATTGTTTAAGGTTGACGGACACGCATGTCTTAATTAGTTTTTGGGTTTGTTTGTTTTTTACGAATTGGTCAAACTCAAACAAAAACATTGTTTTCAATCGTTATGAGTCTACCGATTGAATAGAATTTTTAAAAGATTCTGAATGTAAAAATAAAGAAAAAAGTGTGCAAGACAATAAGAAACACTACCTGCCAAAAAAAAAAGTGAAGTTTTGTTGAAATCGGTTGAAAAATGTAGGAAATCCGATCCCATATATAAACAAAGACACACACAAACAACCTGGGTTTTATAATAAGTATAACTCAATATAAGTTGTCCTCCTTTCATTCCGCGAAAGCGATGCCTCTTAATCGGGATTTCAAATTGATTTCGTGCAAAAACAATTGTTTTTCCAATTTTTGGCGATGTCAGAACCACCGCAAGGTAATTTTACGTAGTCCTGTGAAGTTTTGTTGAAATCGGTTGAAAAATATAGGAAATCCGATCCAATATATAAACGTACAGACACACACAACCTGGGTTTTATAATAAGTATAATATATATATTTGCGCATGTAAATCTTCATAAAGTCCCATCCTTGAAATCCATGCCGATTTTGAAGACAGGGAGTCATGCTTTGCGGAGTTATTCATAAATTGAAAGTTCTTAAGTATTATTTGAACAGTCTCTTTAGGCTCAGGAGTTGTACTTGATGAATTTACAGTTTTTTGTGTTTCTCTGCTTTATTATCTACCCTTCACTGGCACTTTGCATCACCTCAGTCTTTTGTTTCCTGTTTAGGATTGGGTTTCCGGTTCCTTCTAAAGTCTACTTCAACTCTGTACTTCTAACATCTCCGCTTGAACTCTGAAATTTTATTTACTAATTATTTTTTCTTCTCCTTAATAGGAGTAGGTAGTTTCGGCTATCACCCAGTTCACACTCCTCATTGGTCTTTTGAACGGGAGTAGAAATTAATTCCTTGTTTCCTGTTTAGGATTGAGTTTCCAGTTCCTTATAAAGTTTTTCCATTATCTTTCACTCCCATTAACAGCCTTGTGTCTTAGTGGCATTATCACCTTGCTTGGGGTGAAATGATTTAAAAAAAAAATCCCAAGAGACCGATTTCTTATGTTTGTCCTGTGAGGGATTCATATTCATTAGAATTTAAGAATAATTTTGAAATGATGCCTTTACTTTTGCCTACAAGAGCAAATGTCATTCAGTGCTACCTACATTAGATATATCATTTCCATAATTGACTGACCGGAACGTTGCGATAACAGCACAATTAACACAAAGAATGAGTTCAGTAGTCCGAATAACTCTTGGAATGATAATGACTCTTAAAATTATAGAAGCTATCATTTCCATAATACTGTTTTGATTTGCATGGGATTTATGTGCAGCACCATTTCTCTCTCTCTCTCTCTCTGCCCCTCTCTCTCTCTCTGTGTGCCCCTCTCTCTGCTCATGTGAATGAATAGAAGTTTTAGTAATTTTCTGTAATATAAGTAAATGTACTCATTCAAAATGAAGCACGCTGTAACATTATCCGGACATGTTTATGTCCTATCTCATAATATTTGGGTGTATATACAATATATATCCATTTAATTTTATTTTTAAAAATAGAATGCTCCTCTGAATTAAATAAGCTCGGGATACACTTTATCTAAGCTAGAAATACACTTATATCATTTATGAAAGACTGGAGAGGCCAAGACATGAAACTGGGAAAATTAATTAAATAAATAGATGAAGACGATGAACAACAACAAAGAAGAAATATATTTCCCATGGTGTTGATAATAAAGGAACAGGAAATTGTATTACCTATTTACTTTCGTCAAACGTACATTAGGTGGCGCTGTTTTTGTCTATAAAAGGCAAACAAACAATTCCTTTGCATTTCTTCCTCCTGCTCCAGAACGTGGAAAAAGATGCCCCTGCTGAAAACGTTTTTCCCCCCGATCCACTAACGACTGAATTCTTTCCACTTTCCAGCGCATGGCGTTTGAACGTGTCTTCCAAAACCTTTATTTATGAAGTAAATCAACCTTTTCTTTGGTCGTTCCAAATCAACGCAAGGCTAACTTGAGCTCGACCATTAAAACCATACTTATCATGACTTGCCCAAATTTGTAGAACAGACTTATCATTATCAGGCTGACTTGTGTTCGACCATTATAATGATTCTCCTTACTTACCTTAACTTCTGAACAAAATAAAACTGATATACCCAAGATATATTGAGAACATTGTTTCACTACACTTTATATCAAAAAAAGAGAATAAACGATCCGTGGTAGAATCCCAAGTTTTTATTTTTTTTCTTAATTGTTTTCTAGTGGTTAAATATGTATGTTCTGAAATTTGGCAGCTACTAGCGGTTTCTCATTCTCAAATTCACGATAGCCTGACACTAATCATTTGACAGTTTTCTGTTGATCTGGTCCTTCTCCAACGATGTCCTGGGTATGACGATAAACTACATCCGGCAGCAAGGCTTCTGATCGAGAGGTTTTGAGGAGTGTGAAAGCACCTCTTAATT